GTATTTTTATGGACTTTGTGGGATTTGCCTATTGAATCCACAGCTTTGACAATATTGATGTGAAAAAGTCAATTGAAAGTGTTTATTCCATAATATCTTAGATATTATAAACTGTTATAGTTTTTCCCAATGTGGCTCTCTGTTTTCTCTAATCATTGACAGGTATCAATACTCATTTCATTGATAATAGAATATTGCTAAACTATTGGGTTTGATGAAAAGGATAATCTTATGTTTGAGTTATTCAGTAGGGGACAATTCAGTGAATCACTGCTGCCCCCCTTCTCTAAGCTTCTGGGATGGATGACTTAGGGCGGTGTGCTATAAAGGCATCTTTCTTAAAGTGAGATCCAGTATTCCCCAAGTAATTTCATGGAAGATGAGAACACCCCCAAACACTTCAAGGCATTAAAATCATACCCTTCTAACATGTACATATCAATACTGTATTCCTAATTTCAACTCCATATTACTACCCATAGACATTATGAAAATATAAATAATTAAGAAAAACAATGTATGGTCCATTGCTTACTTTCTTCCTTACCTTCCACTCCTCTACCCTCGATGAAGGGAAAAAAATTGGAGCACAGGATGCCAGCATGCCTGCCTCTAGCCATGACTTTGCTTCCAACCCTTGGACTCATTCCTAACTTCCACTTTTACTACCAACCTGGGAGAATAAACAGCCAGGTTTTCTGAACATATCTGCAAACTGCCGTAAAGATTCCCTATCAGCCCTTATGTTTGTGTGTTTTATGCCTTAGAGGGGATTGGGCAGAACTAAGACTTTTACATCACCTCTGGGAGACCTGGCCAAAAATCCAATAGTGTCTCTCATTCTCAAGTAATTTCCTTTGCCATTGAATTTCAGTTCTCGTGTCGGATGGTATAGTTGGTAAGTTGAAATCCTAACAATCAACTGACTGTGGTTTGAAGTGGCAGCTGACTGAAGTCAATGTACGCTGCGCCTGATGTCAGTTGCTATGTGACAGACCTTGTCAGAAACACAAGCGGGACCTCAGGTTGTAGTGTGGGCCTGACCCTTTCAGATGAATGGGAACTGACAAGGGTGGAATGCAACATGGAATGGAGTGATGATGTGAACAGTGACGTGTTTGGGATTAAAACACTGGGTGCAGAGATGTCACTCATAATGGACAGAAAAATGACAGGCGACTGGCCTTAACTTTACTTGACTTCAGTTTAAAGATGTCCTTTGTACCAAGAGCTAGAGCCAGCTAGCAGAGTTAGTTATGTAGTAGGAAAATTACTCTATCCCTGGCCATCACCACCCCAGGTTAATCTGTGCCACACAACAACTGGCTCCCTGTGCTATTAGAACAGTGCTTCTTAACCCTGGCTTCACATTAGAATCACCTGAGCATTCATGACATGGCCCCAGGAGGTTCTAATTGACCTGGGATGGGACACAGCCATTGGCATACCTTACAAGCCACTGCAGGTGTTTATGATATGCAGCAATAGTTGAGAACCACTGCATTAGAGGATTAAAAAGGAAAAATAAAAGCTCTGGAAAATGGGCATAACTTTTTTTCTTCTTCTTAGCTTTACATATTTTATTTATCTGATATTTTAATGGGCATAATTTTCTAATCATAATAACATAATGAACCTCTATTGCCCAAGGAGCTGAAGCCTTTATTACCTCATTACTATATTTTTAACCTTGTTGGCACATGAATCTAAGCAAAGCTACAAGAATTAGCTTGGCTCACCCTGCAAGTTACTTGGTTTCAGGAACATGTTTCACCCCCTTCCTTACCCTCTTCATTTCTCTGAGCTAGAAGTGAATGCTCATTGTTAACCCCAGACAAACAAGTATTATGAATAGCTTGACCCTAGCCCTAACTGCCTTTTGAGTCTTAAAGGGTTCAGAGGAAAAGGTGCACCATACCATTTATTCAATAATACAAATGTGCTGCCCCTTTTTATGTGGCAGTGATGCAGATCCACAGATGGTAGAAAAGGCAGGTACTTCATTTTCATTTTAGCTGAGGCAGTAATTTCCACACTCTTTGGCATTCTAACTCAGGCATGGGAATGTGTCGGAGAGGGTGCATGGAGATTATGACAAAAACCAAAGTGAGCTGATCCTCTACTCTCCTTCTCCCCTGTGTCCCATTTGAGATTGAATCCCCACATCAAAACCTGTATCCCCAAAAGGATCCAAGAGAGATCATTCTCTTAGCCTAACTTTGTCAACCTATATCTGTTCTTAGGGTTATTTACATTTGAAACATTATCTCAAATGTAGACTAAAAATAATGCAGAGAAAAGTTATAAATACAGATAGGTAGATGAGACAGACATGATAGATGGTAAATACCTTGCTAGAAGATTAAAGATGATAGATGGCTCAATAAGAGTTTTCATTGTTTGAGGATGCCCCACGGAATTCCACAATGTAGATATCTACCCTTGAGTAGCTATGAACATATTAGGTTATGAATATGAAAACTAATCTGGCCGGGCACGGTGGCTCAAGCCTGTAATCCCAGCACTTTGGGAGGCCAAGGCGGGTGGATCACGAGGTCAAAAGATCGAGACCATCTTGGTCAACCTGGTGAAACCCCGTCTCTACTAAAAATACAAAAAATTAGCTGGGCATGGTGGCGCGTGCCTGTAATCCCAGCTACTCAGGAGGCTGAGGCAGGAGAATTGCCTGAACCCAGGAGGTGGAGGTTGCAGTGAGCCAAGATCGTGCCATTGCACTCCAGCCTGGGTAACAAGAGCAAAACTCCATCTCAAAAAAAAAAAAAGAAAACTAATCTTTACATCTTTCTATGTGGCTCAACAGGATAGGAGAGAAAATTTATGTACACAGGGTATGGTTGGGTTAGGAAACTTCAGATTATATCACTATAACTGTTGTATTAAGTAACTTGCCACATTAAGTAACTTTCCCAGTAGTAACTGCTATTAGGGTATGAAAGTAAAATTAGGTATTAATGTGTTATAAATTGAAAGAAAAATTATGGCTCAAAAATTATTTTTTACCAATCCATTAAATCACAACTCAACAACTCATAATTTCTGTTTTATACTTTTTTAATTAGAAAAAAGAAAAGAAAATTGTGAAAAAGTCTATTTATCCTAGGAAGAATGGTCATATCATTTCTTGGTTGTGAGGACCAATGACTAGGGTTGAGAATTATAGCTGTCATTGACATGTGATTCTCCAGACATATAAGTTATCTCTATTAAAAATACACCAAGAGCATGACGTGCAATTAGAAATATGTGCTTGATTCATGTTCATCTAGTCATGAGAAGAGAAAAACATGTAATGTTTCAACAGACTTAAAAACTAAGGTCTGTTAGTGGAACATTTGTTATTTACATGGATGACTCAACCTCAACAGTAGTATAGCATGGGTGGATAAATAGGGAAATCTTAGTCACCAACTCATGTCAAAACCCATACAACAAAGCAACTAAGCTAAACTAGTTAAGAAAAATGGTTAAAAAAAAAAAACTTAACACACAGTCACTCCCCTCTGTAATGTCTCCACTCCCAAATTATCTTATATCAAAAAATTGGGCTGTGTCATCAATTATTTAGTCTAGGTTTGACCCCAGTGATTCAGGTTCTCAGATGTGTCTGCTGCCTTCTTGAGTTCTCTGCTTTCAATTTCATCAAGACCTCCATTTTTGTGTCCCTTTGAGAGGGAATGAGATATAATATGCAGTGGCCAGGAGTGAAAACTGGTGAATACTTATATCCAGCATCCTGAAATGTGCATTCTGAATTAGATGGGTAACGGTGGGAAGAACAACCTGCCTCTCTAGCAAAAGAACTGCAGGTTACTTTCTAAAACATCCATAGATAGATTAACCTGCCTTAAATGATAATCTGCACAATACATGCATAATCTATACAGAACACTGAACATGTATGTTCAAGAAAAGCAACAAGCAACAAGTAAAAGAGACCAGTATCTAGATATATTTTATAAAAACTGAATTTTTTGAATAATTTTTTAAAAAGTCAAATACCAGACAAGGGGAAAAGAAAGCTAACTTTAAAGAATTAAGTTAAGGTTGATCCCAGATTTCTTTTCCAGAATGGAAAGTTTATAGTTTGAAAATATTTTATATTTATAGTAAACATAGATATGAAAGTTTATACTGAGTTATGTGCCAAAAATGTTTTTAAAAAGTAAGGTCATGCTATATTTTGAGAGGCAGTGAGGGAGATACTCAATATTGTTTGGCGAAATGAATAGAATTGTTTTGGAAAATGATTTAGTTATATGTGTCTAAAAATTTATATTTTTTGAAGATGATGCAACTGAAAGAATGTATTTTCTGAGGGTAGAACTAGACATAAAATGAAGATTTGAGTGTAAAAGCAATTTCTTTCATCAGTACTGGTTAGAGGAATAAGTGTACAATATATAAATTACCAACAATAAATGGATGTGATAAATCAACTATAGTACACTTTTATAGGAGCATTATTAATATGTTATTAAACATGTTTACAAATAGTGTTCATAAAATTGTGAAAACACTATAAAATATTAATGAATATGCGTGATATAAAATATATATGCCTAATAGAATGCTAAATTTTCAAAAATTGACATGGAATGCGTATATAAATAATCTGAGATAGTTCTATTTTTTTAACATGAAAAAAACTTCAAAGGAACTTAACTAATATCTTTTTATGATGTTAGAAATTTTGTCTTTTGCAATAGGATTAGAGGCAATTTTTTACAGTATGCTTTATACTTAAAAATTTTTAACTTGAACCTGTAATATCATTTGCCAAAAAGTTATATGTTTTTAAGTAATAGAAAATGTTTATCAGCTAAATTCAATAGCTACTTTCTTTGCTCTGGGAAGTGGGGCATCAAAAGACTTTTAAATAGAGCCATAAATGTCAAATTATTGAGACAAAGAATGAGTCCTCTGGAAATTCAAAAGAGAGAGAGCTAGTTGCTCAGTGAAGATGAAATATCTCATGAAACATAGTCGAAGTCAGATTCAGAAGGCCTTGAATGCTAGACTAAGAAAGACAGACTTTATTCTGATGCAAATGGAAGTCCTTGAAGAGATTTTTGTAGCTCCAATTAATGAATATCCTTTGTTCTTCTCCATTAAAGCTGGTACATTGAAAATGTATATGCATCTGTATATTCATATCTGAATGTATGTACACCAAATGTATTCACCCCTAGGCAGGAAATAATGTGTCTAAAAAGAAGAAACAGGAAGAATGATGAAGGCATTCATTAATTAGAGTACATTTACATTTCCAGCGTCAGCTAAAATCATCCACTTATTTAAATGGAAATCTCCTCAGTTTATTACAGCCATTATTATTCGGCAGTAAGAGATAACTAGTTTGAATTTCACAAGTAAAGAAAATTGTATTGTCTGTTGCTTCTTTCAGGGGTCACTATTAATCAACTTTTGAGTAAAATTACAGTTTTTAGGCAAGAAAATTATTTATTGAGTGCCTACTACATGCAGAACCGTTGGATAAATTTCACAAATACAGAAAATTGTATTGTCTGTTCCTTCTTTCAGAGGTCACCATTAGTCAATTTTGAGTAAAATTACAGTTTTTAGGCAATACAATTATGTATTGAGTACCTACCATGGGCAGCATCATTGGATAAATTCCGTACAGAATCCCATTTACTTCTCATAGTAACCTCACGTGATTGATATTTATCATCCAAATTTTATAGGAAGAAACTGCTAGAGATAAGCAACTGGCCAATATGAACCTATCCTTAAACCCAGAATTGTTTTACTCTCCACATTCTGTATAAGCCAATAGATGAAAACATCACATTAGAGCATACCCACTAACTTATGCATTTTCTAAAATTATTGCTATATTGTACATTTTTTGAGAATGTGTCTATATGGGTATAGTATGTATATACACATGGCATATATTGATTAGTTTGTGTGTCATGTGTAACATATACATGCATTATCATTTATACATATAGAAACTTACTGAGTATTGTGATATGCTTTTCATATGCATGCATTGTTACATATACCTATATATAAATAGATAATTGACAATATGTAAATATAAATTATTTGGAAATGTATATGCATATAAAATGTATACATACAATTATATACAAAATATATTTAAATATAGTAATTACGTATATATGCACACATAAAAAATTATGTTTCCACTTTCTTTACCTAGAAAAAAACTGCTGTGCTATTGGAAAATTAATTTTATAGTTGAGGAAATATTACCCTCACAATGAATAGAGGATAATGAATTCTGACTCCACTTTCAGTATTGCAGCCCAAAGAAAGAGTTGATGCCTCTCTTTACTGTTTAGAGGCCGTGCACCCCTAAGAATGATCTAAGAATCTTCGAGTGTCAGTATGAAGGACCTCCTTTCCTTATTCTCCCATCCCTTGTGTCTTTCTCCTCCAAATTCCACCTCCTCTAACATGTACATGAGAGCCCACAGTTGGAGGAATGGTGACAGGACCCCTTCAGCCCTGACTCTAATTCTATTCTTTATACTCAAAAGATCAACTCTAAATCTGGTCCCTGCAGTGAAAGGACAATCACCTACTAGTTAAATTCATTCAGCTCTTCATTCAACAAAACGATGTAGCATTTTCATCAGTGGACCAACTTAACAATCAACCATACAAAAAATAAAGCGTCAGCCAGAGCAGAAAAGAGGCCTTCATCAGAGTTTGGAGTTCCACACAATGGCTGGGGAGGCTGAGCTGTCACTGCTTTTCTTCATCCGAGTACCCCATGCATAGATAGCACCAGCTCTAGCGTGAAGGGAGATTTAAAAGCAACTAAGTGCATATAAGCATTTCTCATTCATTATCTGGGGTTTCTGCTACTGGGTGACATATCATTAGTCCTAGTGTAAGGCAAGCTTTAAAAACGTAATTACTTAATCATGCAGTTAGCTTCCCATCAATCCTAGCAGCATTTGTTCTTAACTAGCTTTTAAGAACAAAATTAGGAGTAATTTGTAAACAAAAGTAATTGAAGAAAGGCAGATATTGCCAAGGTGTTGACAGCATTAACAGACATTATTGTTTCCCTTAATACCACCACAGCACTGCAGTTAACAATAGGTAGCTGGCAAAAGGCAGAGCTTGGGAATTAGTAAAAGGCCACCTGAAGAAGTGCAGCAGTAGGCAAAGTGGTCCTTCCACTGGCCCTACAGACATCCAACTCTAACAGGTAGGTTGAGTCTCTGCTGCTAAACTGATTTGTATTTCATGCAACCTACAAATTTGATGATTTTGTAGGTTGGTGTGATTTAACATTTTTAGTATGACCATGAAATTCTCTCATCTTATTTTTTATATCTTCTTTTTAGAACCCAGAAATTTTTCCCAGGAGGGTGCCATCATATTTACAGGAACCATAGATGTACAACTTCCATTTGGCAAGAACCACTTAGGTAGGTAGGTAGAGACAAAATATCTTTGCCTTCCCTTATATCTCATTACTTGTTACAGATTCAGTGAACTTATAGTGACCATCACCTCTGGGCCAGATATTTTCCTAGTCACTTGAGAAATGGAAGTGAGCAAGAAATTGACTCAATTTTCATGGGGCTCCTGATTTTGTAGAGAGAGAAAAATGGAAATAAAACATGATCAACAGACTTAAAACAAGTCTGTAATAACCCCCATATTTATTTTCTAACTGCCTCCTGGGACTAGAGGCTTTACAGAGTCTTTAGCAGAAATCATGAAGAAATGAAAGACTTAGAGTACAAACAAGAATATGCAAGAAATGTCAGGTCCAGGAATGAGAATACCACTATTGTCATTCTATAGAGGAAGTAACTGACTCTGAAATGTACAAAATAACTTACCAAAAATCACATCCATAAAGAATAGCAAAGTTGAAATTCAGGTTCAGGTATTTATATTTATTATCACTCTTCTGTTATGATAGTGAGTCCAAATATCTTTCCAGAATCCAGTCGAATTCAACAGGAGTGCTGAACCTGGAATCAGAATACCCAAGTTTGATTCTGCCTCTGAAGTCTTCTACTGTGACTTTAAGTAAGTCATGAAAACTCAGTGAGTTTCAATGGCCCCATCTGCAAAAATTCGTATCTTGGTACCTTTAGCACAATCTGTTGCCATAAGAATCTAGTGATGTTTAGGAACGCTATTGATTTTTGCACATTAATTTTGTATCCTGAGACTTTGCTGAAGTCGCTTATCAACTTAAGAAGCTTTTGGACTGAGACGATGGGGTTTTCTAGATGTAGGATCATGTCATCTGCAAATGAAGATAGTTTGACTTCCTCTCTTCCTATTTGAATACCATTTCTTTCTTCTGTTGCCTGATTGCTCTGGGCAGAATTTCCAGTATTATGTTGAATAGGGGTGGGGAGCGAGGGCAACCTTGTTTTGTTCTGATTTTCAAGGGGAATGCTTCCAGCTTTTGACCATTCAGTATGCTATTGGGTGGGTTTGTCATGTATGGCTCTTATTATTTTGAGGATGTTCCTTCAATATTTAGTTTATTGAGTTTTTAAATAAAGAGCTGTTGAATTTTATCAAAGGCCTTTCTGCATCCATTGAGATAATCATGTAGTCTTTAGTTCTGTTTATGTGATAAATCACATTTATTGATTTGTGCATGTTGAACCAGCCTTGCATCTTGGGGATGAAGCCTACTTGATCATGATGGATGGGTTTTTTGATGTGCTGCTTGATTTGGTTTGCCAGTATTTTGTTGAGGATTTTTGTGCTGGGTATATATACAAAGGAATATATCTTTCTATTATAAAGATGTGTGCATATGTTCACTACAGCACTATTCACAATAGCAAAGACATAGAGTCAATCTAAATGCTCATCAGTGATAGACTGGATAAAGAAAATGTGGTACATATACACCGTGGAATACTATTCAGTCATAAAAAGCATGAGAGATCAGGCCCTTTGCAGGGACATGGATGGAGCTGGAGGCCCATTATCCTTAGCAAACTAAGGAAGAAACAAAAAACAAAATACATGTTCTCACTTCCAAGTTGGAGGTAAATGATAAGAAGACATGAACACATGGGGGGAAACCACACACACTTGGCCCTGTCAGAGGGCAGTGGGTGGGATGAGGAGGGGGGAGGATCAGGAAGAATAGCTGATGGATACGGGGCTTAATACCTGGATAATGGGATGATATGTGCAGCAAACTACCATGGTACATGCTTACCTGTGTAACAAACCTGCACATATTGCACATGTGCCCCAGAACTTAAAATGAAAGTTAGAAATTAAAAAAAGAATCTAATAAAATAATAAAATTAGAAGTGATTGGTACTTTGGGCCAAAAGTAAGGTATTAATGCTATACAATTCTTTTTATATGAAGTTCAAGAACAAGCAAAATAACCTGTGGTAATAAAAACTAAAATATAGGTGCCTCCAAAAGGTTAAGAATAGAGTGGAAAGGAGCATAGAGAACTTTCTAGGCTAATGGAAATGCTGTATATTAAATGTCAATACTCACCAAGTTGACCACTTAAAATCTGTGCACTTTATTGTATGTAAATGATGCCTTAAAATTGCACTAAGAATGATATAATTATTTCTATTAAATTTTTTCAGAAACTTAATATAAATCTTCCTAATTTCTACTATCTTAGGAGTGAGTTGAGGTCCACTGTCCAAAATGAGTCCTCCAAGGGATTCACTTCATGCACCATTAGACCGCTGCAGAGAGAGTTCATATCCTTACACATATCCTTTAATTTAATTCAAGATAAATAAAACCTCTTCTTTACATCTTTAAAAACCAAAGCATAAAGAATCGTCATGAATTTCCATGTTACTTAGTCTAGCACATATGAAAAACTCACTGTTTTCTTTTTCAATTGAGAAAGAATTGTTAAAAGTTAAATTTACCAATCAGAGAATTATAATAATATTACCTTTGGTTTGGGGTGAGATATCAGATAACTTTGATACATTGACTTGTAGGACAACATAAATTGTTACCAAAGAAAGTATCATGTATTTTCTCTTTATTTTGTGTTACCTTATTTTATTTTTCTAGTGACTGTAGAAATATTTACTCTCTACAGGGTTTTATGACTCTAACATAAGCAGTAGTAAACAAACATTTTTTATGAGTGCTCAGAGCATTTGGCCTTCAGAATTATTGGGTCAAGTCTTCATAGTCAAAGGCAGATCAGTCAACAAGTTTCCATTGAGTGTCTACTATGAGCCCAGAACAGCAGAGTTAAAAGGGTTGAGATAATTATCCAGGCCCCAGAGTGACGTTTATTGGTTTCCATAGATCATTTAGGCAGAAGGAGGCTTTTCTCTTTTAATTATCTGTAAAACTAAATCACTATATTACCAGACTGGCCTAGTTCTTTAGAAGATTAAATAAAAATTACTTGCAATAAATGTAAATACTTTGACTGGTAAATTATTTTTACAAACTCTTAGAACTTAAAAAAATGCATCAGTTTAGATTTTAATGCTAGCCAGATAGGTGATACTTGAACTACTCAATAATGAGGAGTGCTGAACATTTACAATAAGAAAATACAGTTTATTGCCTTGGCTTCAAGAGGAAAAAAAAAGTTAGCTGACCTGCATTGGGGAGCAGGTAGTGTTTGGTTACGTGAATAAGTTCTTTACTGGTGATTTCTGAGATTTTGGTGTACCCATCACCCAAGCAGTATACACTCTACCCAATGTTCAGTCTTTTATTCCTCACCCTTTTCCCCCAGTGCCAAAAGTCCAATGTATCATTCTTATGCCTTTGTGTCCTCATAGCTTAGTTCCCACACATAAGTGAGAACATACGATGTTTAGTTTTTTCATTCCTGAGTTATTTCACTTAAAATAATAGTCTCCACTTCCATTCAGGTTGCTACAAATGACATTATTTTATTTTTTTATGACTGAATAATATTTCATGATATCTATCTATTTATCTTTCTATCTCTTTATGGTATATAGATAGAGAGATACAGATAGATGCCATGAATATATATAGATAGATACCATGTATATAACATATATAACATTTTCTTTATCCACTAGTCAATTTGATAGGGATTTGGGCTGATTTAATACTTTCGCAATTGCAAATTGTGCTACTATAAACGTGTGTGCAAGTATCTTTTTTATACAGTGACTTCTTTTCCTCTGGGTAGATACCTAGTAGTGGTATTTCTGGGTAAAACAGTAGATCTACTTTTAGTTCTTTAAGGAATCTCCACATTGTATTCCATTTTGGTGGTAGTAGTTTACATTGCCATCAGCAGTGTGAAAGTGTTCCCTTTTCACTATGTCCATGCCACCATGTATTATTTTTTGATTTTTTGTTTATGGCCATCCTTGCAGGAGTGAAGTGGTACTGCATTGTAGTTTTGATTTATATTTCCCTGGTAATTTGTGATGTTGAGCATTTTTCCATATGCTTTTCGCCATTTGTATATCTTGTTTTGAGAACTGTCTATTCATGTCATTTACACACTTTTTGATAGAATTGTTTTTTTTTTTCTTGCTGATTTGTTTGAGGTCCTTGTGGATTCTGGCTATTAGTCCTTTGTCAGACATATAGATTGTGAAAATTTTCTCCCACTCATGCATTGTCTGTTTACTCCCCTGATTGTTTTTTTACTGTGCAGAAGCTTTTTCATTTAATTAAGACACATGTATTTATCTTTGTTTTGTTGCATTTGCTTTTGGGTTCTTGATCATAAAGTCTTTGCCTAAGTCAATGTCTAATAAGGTTTTTCCTATTTTATCTTCTACAATCTTTATGGTTTCAGGTCTTAGATTTAATTCTTTGAACCATCTTGAATTGAATGCTCAATAGGGTGAGAGGTGAGGATCCAGTTTCATTCTTTTACATGTGGCTTGCCAATTATTCCAGCATCTTTTGTTGAATAAGGTGTCCTTTCCTGACTTTATGTTTTTGTTTGCATTGTTGAAGATCAGTTGGCTGTTAAGTATTTATCTTTATTTCTGGATTCTCTGTTCTTTTCCATTGGTCTATTTGCCTTTTGTTATGCCAGTACCATGCTGTTTTGGTGACTGTGGCCTTATAATTTAGTTTGAAGTTGGGTAATGTCATGCCTCCAGATTTGTTCGTTCTGCTTAAACTTGCTTTGGATATGTGGGCTCTTTTTTGGTCCATATGAATTTTAGGATTGTTTTTTCTAGTCTGTGAAGAATGATAGTGGTACTTTGATGAGAACTGCACTGAATTTGTAGATTGCTTTTGACAGCATCGTCATTTTCACAATATTGATTCTATCCATCCATATGCATGGAATATGTTTTAATTGTGTTGTCTATGATTTCTTTCAGCAGTGTTTTACAGTTTTCCTTGTAGAGGTTTTTCACATCCTTGATTAAGTGTATTCCTAAGTATTTTATTTTGTTTTATTTTTTGCAGCTATTGTGAAAGTGGTTGAGTTCTGGAATTGATTCTCAGCTTGGTCCCTGTTGGAGTATAGCAAAACTACTGATTTGTGTACATTAATTTTGTATCCTGAACCCTTGCTGAATTCATTTATCAGCTCTAGGAGCTTTGTGAGTGAATCTTTAGGTTTCACTAAGTAGATGATCATAGCATTAGCAAATAGCAACAGTTTGATTTCCTCTTTACTGATTTGGATGTCCTTTATTTACTTCTTTTACCTGATTGCTCTGGCTAGAACTCCCAGTGCTATGTTGAATAGAAGTAGTGAAAGTAGACTTCCTTGTCTTGTTTTAGTTCTCAGGAAAAACACTTTCAACTTTTCCCTGTTCAGTATAACGTTGGCTGTGTGTATGTCATAGATGGCTGTTACTATGTATGTTCTTTCTGTGTTGATTTTGCTGAGGGTTTTAATCATAAACAGATGCTGGATTTTGCCAGATTCTTTTTCTGCATCTATTAAGATGATCATATAATTTTTTATTTTAATTCTGTTGATGTGGTATATTGCACTTATTGACTTATATAAGTTAAGCCATCCCCACATCCTTGTTATGAAACCCACTTGATTATGGTGGATTATCTTTTTGATATGTGGCTGGACTCAATTCCCTAGTATTTTGTTCAGGATTTTTGCATCTCTGTTCATCAGGAAGATTG